CGAAGGACAATCCGTTTTTCTTTTCCCGAAAGGGATTGTTTGCCACGACCTCCTTCGCACTTTCCAACTTTCGGTTTTTTTTTTTTTTTTTCCCGTTTTTTTTTGTCTTCTCCTCATGGGGGGACAGATATATATTTTCTCTCACCTCACATATTTTAACAGGTGTCATGGCACCTTTTTTTTTTTTTTTTTTTCACTTTCATGGCCTACCACTACTGCCCTTCTTTCATGAAGAGGAAAACGTTGTAATGAAGAGGATGAGGAGGAAAATAAAAGAAGGAAAACGTTGCAAGGAAAGAAAATGAAGCCACAAAAAACAAAAAACAAAAAACAGCACTTGCCTATCGGTGGAATAGGGCCTCGGCCTTTGGGGTCCTTCGAGGAAAAAAAAAAAAAAAAAGGCCCTTCGGGCCTACCGTAGTTGCACCGCTTGCCCTCCACCATGATTTTGAATGCATCTGGACAGACACCGGGGGCGTGGTCCCACTAGCAAGAGGATCGGATCGAATAGCTGAATCTATAAAATATATTATATTATATTTATATTCTACAATTTTATGGCCATGTGCAGGAAATCGAGATTGAACTGTTTTTCTGCAGCTCTACTGAAAACACATCCAGATTCAGGAGCTCGATCCTATCCTTTTTGCTAGTGGGACCTCGGGCCGGTTAAGATGCATTCAAAATGTCACCGGCTCCCCACCAACGGACTGGAGTCGTCCACCCAGGAAAACAAAAAAAAAAATTAAATTTTTTTAAAAAAATGGCGGATGGCGAGTGGCGGAACTAGGCCGTCACTCCGTCGGCCACTCGCCACATGCGCACGAGACAAAAATAATGCAGGTGTATCTTTCCACGTCCTTGCGGAAGATTCGTTCTCAATTTGCACACTTGGTGATAAAGTGTTTGCACTGTTGGCATCTTCATAGTGCGTACGTGTAGCCCTTGGTGAACACAGGGAACCCATTTCTTCTTCTTTTTTTTTTTTTTTTTTTTTTTTTTTTTTTTTTTTTTTT